TGCGGACAGCACTTCGTTGATGGTGAGTCATGATGTGCCGTTATCAATTTTTTTAAATATTCATAAGCTCCCTCATTTCAATGGAAAGCAGATGACAAACTACTGTTATTGGTAGGCTTAGGCGTAGGCCTACTTGCAGACTTGACTCGTGTAAGGTATTTATCAATATTTGCCATAAGGTATTGTTTCCCTAGTTAGCAGGTAATCTATTAGTAAGTGTGAAAATTTGAATACATAACTAAAGTTTAACGCCAGTGCTAATGCAAAAAATAACCAGAATTCAATTGAATTCTCTATCTGAGAATACGCTCGCCACCGCATCTCTGATCCCCCTGGGAGTTTCACAGGTTCCAATCCCATGCGGGGATAGTTATGTGCGAGGGGATTGCAGCTCTCCTCCCACTAAGGGTGGTTCACATGACCGCTGGTCAATTACGACATCCCCCACCATCAAGTCCATGCTTCTAGTTCTAAAACAAATAACTGGCTAACTAATCCCGACATAGAATGGTAATCGTACGATGTTGCACCTTGCAATCTGTCCCCAACCACAGATAAATTCTATCCTAAAAACTACCCACATTGGTAGGCATAGTTGTGTTTTAAATTGAAAGAAATCTTCATTAATGGTCAGAAGGTGTTGTCTGATTGTTTTGTTAGTTAGCAGGTAATTTATTACTGATCTGATACACAAACTTGGCACTGTCAAATGATGATTAGTGTTTAATTTATTTTCAGGAAAAAGGGAAGATAACCCATTATCAGCTGCTTACATGTCCCATTGATATTTGAATTTTCGCCATCCCCAGAAAAGAAGAGAATAGTTAGAAAAAAGAGGATTTTGAAGAAAGGCAAAAGGCAGGACCATTTCAACAAATTCTGTTAACTTGTATGCGTTGCAATATTAATTCGCAGTTGTTAGCATAAACATTTAATGTGTCTTTCGACTAGACCTACCACACTTTAAAAAAAAGCCGTCTACACCCCTTTTCACTAAAACCATAATACTGTAAAATATTTGATAGAAATTACCCCCGAGGCATCATATCTTCCATTTGAAAGGGCTGTGGAGGCAGATACATTTTTTACTCTAAATTATGGAATGTTACTCCCAGGTTATCTTATCCTTGCTTATAGATATCTTGAGGTTGGTGACTCCAACTGACCCATGCATGCCACACTGAAAATTCTCTTGAGTACCCATAAAATAAGGCTGTTGGAGCCTTCAGACCTTGAAAACAGTCGAATCTGAGCACGATGGATTCATGTGAAACATGTAATACACGTAATATGCATTTAGAGGCAAAAATATCCCATCCTAAGCAGCACCGATCCACAACCTCCTGCCTATGGAATCAAAACATTAGACAAATTGGTGTACTGTGCGCATTCACAAATTTTTGCGAATCAAGTGTGCCTTTTGACTGAAGAAAATTTAGCATTGAAATGGTCAATCTCAATATCAACCTAGTATCTGCAGATAAAACCAATTGTTTTTTAAAAATACATTTTTGATGTGCTTTATTTTTCAAATATAATTTATAATTACTCTAAAGTGTGTGATACATTTGGTACCATGAATACTATTTGCAAATTAGCTTGGGTTATACCCCTCTCAAATAAAAGTTTAGACTCTTAAGTCGTATCTCATAATATTCTTTAAACAAAAGGTTGCGGCTAGCCGGCTACCCATCAGAATTTCCTTTCAGACCACAAAGTCGCAATATTACGCCTCGCTTAAGTTTCATTGGCAACTGTAACTGGTTGTAGTATCGGTGTCCAACGTTAGACTGAAACCTTCACGACCAGACCCACCGAAACAATTTTTTTTTCTTGATAGGGTCGTCTTGAAGTTGATTTCGTTAAAGCACAATGGACACTTTATCTCCACCAATCCACAGTAATGACAAGTTACTTTGTCATTACGATAAGCATCAATAAATGGATACTGAGGATGTATTATCAAGTCACGCATGCTGAGGTCTTGTGCCACTGTGGTATTGTTGCAACTTATACTTTGCCATCCATATATTCCATGGTCGCACCCATATCTGTAAGATAAGAGTTTTCATAAAATCTAACGGTCAAGGAAGGTGAAATTTATGTCCATATCCCACCACAGCCACTAGTCGTAAATGAATTTGATTCCGGGTAGCATATCTTTTTTACCAATGACAATAAAAAGACATCAGTTGTACAAGCACCATTAGGATAGGATTTATCTGGGGGGAGCCAGTTATTTGTTTTCAGAAGCATGGACTTGGATGGTGGGGAATGGTCGTAACCGATCAGCGGTCATGTGAACCACCCTCGGTGGGAGTAGAGCTGCAATCCTCTAGCACATAACTATCCCCGCATGGGATTGAAACCTGTGAAACTACCAGGGTGATCAGAGATGCGGTGGCGAGCGTATTCCTAGATGGCGGATTCTGGTTATTTTTTGCATGACCACTGGTGTTAAACTTTAGTTATCTATTCAACCTTTCACACTTAGTAATAGATTACCTGCTAATCAGGGAAACAATACCTTACAGCAATTGATTATTAATTCCTTACTGTCTTACACAAGTCAAGTCTGCAACTGGAAGTAGGCCTACTAATAACAGTAGTTGATTATTGATTATTAATTCCTTACCGTCTTACACAAGTCAAGTAGGCCCACGCCTAGGGCTACTGATAACAGTAGTTTGTCATCTGCTTTCCATTGAAATGAGGGAGCTTGTGAAATTTTAAAGAAATTGATAACGGCGCACTATCACCACATTATCACTCACCATCAACGAAGTGCTGTCCGCAAACAGTGAAACACAAGTAAGATGGCTTCTGGACTTGACACCAAGCAGTTCTGCCAATAGGCAATAGATGATATCCACATTGCGCGACGTTCAGGATCTTTTGAAATCAGTGGAATATTACTGAAGATCCATTTCGTTGTCTATACTATACGTACAGCCAACAGAACAACGAAATAACCATTTTCAACAGCCAAACAAAACGCAAACGTATAATCCGACTTGCAACTGACAGGAGCCAAATGGACGTTTTTGTTTTATTGCCGTCTAGTAACAATGTCACGTGACCCGTGCAAGTCCTCTATACAATGACAGAATGAGTATGGGAAAAAATTATCAAGATCAGTAGAACTCCATCATAAAACACTAATTAATTGAAGTTAAAATATGTGTGTTTAATTTATGTTTTTCATACAGACGTCACAATTTCAATCACCCATCAGTTAATTTGTATTCTTGCTTACTGCTTTGATCACACAGCATAAATCCTCACGCTGCAACTTTTTTATGATCCGAAAATACACATATCTCTTATCAAAATTTGCATTCCTTGACAAATCATTACTGTATTGGGTACCTATAACAACATTTACAACTTACTCTTTTTTATGCTGAACAATCGTAGCTCAAAGTGGCTCTCTACTAGACTACATCTACTCATGGGAGCTTCAAAGTGAATTTAAAATCTTACTGTCAATGTGCTTTCGAGTGCTGAACCGGTCCTAGGGCCTTTCCCACTCCATTGATTGTTCCTCTATTTTGTTTTGTAATCTGCATTCTATCAGTTCTATCGTGTAATATTCCATGTGCACAACTAACTTGAATATTTATAAGTCACTTACTTTTAATCTTGACGCGAGACAGCGCCGTCAGAACACAGAAAAACGCAGGAAGTCGCACGATGATTTTGAAGCAATAATAATCTGTCAGCACCAAGTCAAGCGTGTCGGCGAATTCAACATCGGGAGAATTTTCCGGAGTTACACGGGGTTGATTAAACCGTAAATATATACTACTACGATTAAACCCTTCGGTACCAAATCCCGGCGTTCCACAGCCAGGGTTGCCAGATCCCAGCAATCAAAAAAAGCCAAATCAAGACACAAAATAAGCCAACAATTTTACCAAGTACAAAAGCCCCATGATTTGTCAGATTTCAAGCCCTTGGCAACGTACCGGTACTGATGATGATGTAGAGTCATCAGCTCAATCAGTGAGGCACACAAATAAGTAAAGTTCCTATAGAACTGTAGAAGGTGAAATAAATATCAAGTGGACAGAATTATTTTACCATTCAATATATACAATACAGGGTGCCGCTTCAGTATGTAATATACCTACATGTTTCTAATTAAACTTGTGATATACCTTAAAAAATTCTCCCTATATCGTACTTTACTATAGAACATTTTTTCACTTTTTAAATTTATAAACCATCAATTTTATTAAAAAATTATCTAACCCTGTGCCGCTCACAGGTGGACCACTAATATCTAATTCAGTAATTTTAGCGTAGTTAATCACATCGTTCGTGAGACTAAATTTGGATTACTGCAATTGCAGAATTAAACTAAAGCTCACATAAACCCGGTATGTTAGTCGTTGCATAAACCATATCAGGCATAATGAAAATTAAGTTATACAACTACTTTTTGGAAACAGAGCTAAAAACTGACAAATAACATGCAAAACTATAAAAACGAGGCAATGTTTACAACCCTGCTTGAACATCTGTCTGAGCAGCTGCAATTATTTCTTATTGGGTATGGTTAAGAGTAAATGTAACAAACAAGGGAATCGATGCTCCAGGAAAGCCTGATGTTAAGTAGCTAAGTACAGGTAATAGGCGGTGTGGCTTAGCGTTAGGAATACGCTCGCCACCGCACCTCTAATTACTCTGCGTGGGTTCGCAGGTTCGAATCCCATGCAGGGATGGTTATGTGCGAGAGGATTGCTGGGCTTCTCGCTGTCGTTGGGTGGTTCACGTAACCGCTGGTCGGTTACGGCTTCCTTCGCCACCAAGTCCATGCTTCTGAAAACAAAACAATTTAACTAATCCCATACCCGACTTGGAATGGTAACCGGACGAGAGGCCGTGGTTCGCCATATGGATAAGCCGTCTTATCGGCTTTCCTCTTCCCCGGGATAAATATGTAAATCCTATCCTATCCTATTATTCAGTTGTCACACACTAAATATTGTATTTTATATGATTTTAATAATATACACTAGAATAGACTTGAATAAAACCAAAAAAACGCCAAAAAGCTAAACGGAAATTCTGACGCCAAACGTTTTTGAAAAAAGCCAAAATGGCAACCTGAAGCTTTGTTTAGTTTTCTACTGTTTCGCAAGACCTTCGCGACCACACTAGGACCCCCAGGTAAAGGTTGGGAACCGCTGTGCAAGAGGATTGCTGGACTGGACTCATTGTCGCCGTAAGGCAGTACGGTAGGTGGTTCACGCAACCGCTGTTCGGTTGTGGCTTCCTCCACCATCAAGACTGTTGTAGGAGTAATAGGGTAAGCGACCGTATGGGATGCAATCTACGGGTACTCGTATTCAATGTGAAACAGTAACGGGACTGGAAAATGACAGTCCAAGCCCAGTGGAAAAAGTTCAATCAAAGGTGTCTAGTTTATTTGCACAACAACAACATACAACCATAGCATGAAACCAGTAATAATATAAATGTGAAACATTTAATTTAAGAACATCAGTTGAAACCAAATGAAATAGCTGTCAAAATTCAATGTCATTAATCATTTGCCATTTTGAATACATTCCCTGAAATATATTGAACATCAAATCTATTGTAAATTGAACCATGTTTTAAAAGTGTTTCTACGAATACACAAAGGCCAGTTTATTGGTTGGTTTTCTAGCTATAAAATTTAATGAATTCCCGGTATCAATCTCTCAGGATTAGGGATTCAAATCTGGTTCTACTGATTATTAAGACTTTTGACATATCGAACATATTCTAATGAATTATAATTGTTGATTTGAATCTTTAAATTCTCTACTATCCGAATTGATAATAAATTTGCTTTGATTGTAAGTGACTTGAAATGTTTTTCTTTTGTGTTAGGAATGGACATCAGTTTTGAAATCTCAATTAACAACAGCTGAATTAGTTGCTGAATATCAGGCATTTCTATCTAATAAGAGAAGAAAAAAAACGGGATCATCTTCAGATGATGATGATATTGAATTCCAAGATACTGTCAAGAAATATTCAACACAAAGTTCAGACTCTGGATCAGATTTTGAAGGTACATGAATTGATAAACATGGGATTTTATTCAGTCAATAAGCAATGTTTGCCCTTCTTCGAGTTAGTTTAACATATAAAAACCCAAAGAATGTAACAAACAATACCCCAAAGTTTGATGAATCTGGCAATACTTTATGAATGAAGTTCTAAATTCTGATATATGCAATATTCTTTTTATTCCGTACATAACAGCATAATGGGTTGTTGTAATTTTTATTTTCCAGATCCTAATTCTGATGCCGATTCTGTGATGGAGGCAAATGTTGAAGAATTTGTTATTAGCACCACCATTGTTTCACCAAACAAAGACGGGAATGGGACATAGGCTCTATAAAATCCTGACCCTCATATTTTACTTATGAAGCAATGATGATGAACATCAAGTATTCAGTTGATATCAAACACGTTGGGAATGAAAAACTGATAGACATAACATATGGTACACACATACTCACCCACTCAGGTGCATAAGATTTAGATGCTTCAATGCTACATTCTGTAAATATGGATGTGGGATGATCTAAAAATATGATTATGAGAAGAGAGATTATATGAGAGTCCATATTCTATGCCCAGAATTTTTTTTCTAAAACCGTATTCGATTTCAAAAGGCACTTCTTGTATGATGATTTACTAGAGGCTATCCAGTTTAGGAGTACGTATTGTTATTTCTACTTTTTCTCCTCTATGGAAAATCAGATGAGCTTTACCTATTGCGTATTATGATTTTATAATTGCATTGGTTGTTTTGCATGACAGATTTCATCTTTGATTTCTTGCATATTACTTTGTCAACAACCGCATAGCTTTCCATTCTATCCCAGTAGTGGTTATGAAATGTTAATTTTATTATTATAAATAATAATTTGTGGTGTATATGTTGACCTGTTAATTTTTTTGTCTGTTATTTTTCGACTTAGTATGAATAATGTGGGGAGAATGACTACAATTTTAAAACAAATATTGAACTCTTACAAATTGCTTGGTGAGTGTCTGTCAGTGACTCGTGTTGAAAATATGCTCCAGATTCATAGATTTTCATCAGACATCAGAAACAGTTCTCAAACATATAATGAATTATACAAATACTGGTACAATCGATTTATTTCTGATGACATTCTTGAACCAGAAGAATCCGCGGGATATATATTTGCTCATCTGTTTAACAAAAAAACTGTGAGTCATGTTGCATTTGTTGAATTATTTATATAGTTGTATGAAGTGGTAAATATATTAGATTGATTTTCAAATTCAGTTTCATTACATGATCTTAATAACTATTTATTAATATCTCAGGGCAAGCGATTGTAATTTTGTCAACGAAAGATAAAACTTTGATCAGATTCTGTTTTTTTTTTATGTATATAAATGGTCAAAAATTTATTTATAACAGATTTCACTTGTCCCGCAAAGTTGCATGAACAATCTTATACCACATGAAAAGATATCATATGTTAATGATCTATGTGTAAAAAAATTGAAACGAATGCCAATACAATATATCCTTGGAGAGTGGGATTTCTTTGGAGTTAATTTAAAAATGAAACCTCCTGTATTCATTCCGCGTCCAGAAACTGAGGAACTTGTAAAACATGTTTTACAATGCATCAAATGCCGTCTAAACAATCATGGTTCAAAAAACTCACCTTTGAAAGTATGTACTTTTTGTATTATTTCTTCTTGAAATATTTCCCGTATTTGGTTTCCTATCCACTTCTTACCAAAGCTTTAAAATTTGGAAAGATGGTTCAAATGGAACCTGATACCTCAATTACTTACCATTTATTCAGTTACTCTTTTCTCTTGCATATTTTTATTGCACAATGAATTTTTATGTGAATAAGGATATATGAATTGTGTGACTAATATTATTAAATGGCTAAGGTTTTTCTGATTCTAAACAATATGATAATTTTGTGCTTTCAGATTCTTGAAATAGGATGCGGATCAGGTGCTATCACATTATCCTTGCTGCACAACTTGAAACATGAAAATGTGAAATTTGTTGCTATAGATGCAACTTCTCATGCAGTCCAGTTATCAAAAGAAAATTCTAAACTGTTGAACTTAGACATGTTGACTAAGGTATTGAAACATTTATCATCAACTTCCTTGTTTGTTCACTTTGAGTGCCACAGGTTTTGAATGTCAACTTCTGATTGTGCCTGTATTGGTAATAATTTATTTCAAAGAACACAATATGTGGTAAAAATGTTGTTAAAAGAAACAGAGTCAGTGTTTTGGTTAAATAATCAAAAAACATCGAAGCTGATTCTGAACTGAAGGTTCAAGAATTTTTAGTTCTGAAAAAAAAATATTGACATGCTGTTTAGATGTTGTTGTTGTCATATGCATGTCTAAGAAACTATAGCAAATCTGTGTGGTATTTTTTTACACTGATGTAAACTTTCTGTTTGTTTTAGCTTCAGATACTTCACATTGAATGTGGTGTTGCAAAAAGTATACCACTGCTGGAAAAATTTGCACCATTCGATATTATTGTCAGCAACCCACCCTACATACCAACATCGGATATGAAAAATCTTCCAGATGAAATATCAATGTAAGCTTTTATACCATTGATAGATTATTTAAATAGACCGGTATGAGTTAATGAAACCACTTTATATTTAACAAGATTGAAAAACTCTTTTTTTAAGGTATGAAGATAATATAGCACTACATGGTGGAAATAAAGGCCTTGACGTCATAGACGGAATTCTAGAATTGGCTAAACATATGCTGACAAAGAATGGGTAGATACACTGTTGTTTGGATGCCATTTTATATATAGTCTAAAAATTCAAAACGTGGAATAGCATCCTGATCATCATCTGGTTGGTTGCAAAAAGTTTGTTAAGCGGTATTACATAACTTGTAATGCCAGGATTCACACATTAATTTCCTGTTCTGGTTGAGAGATGCAACACTTATCGCAGGGGTGGGCAACATACGGCCCGGCCCGCGACGAGATTTTGACCGGCCCGCTAACTGTACATTACATTATGCTATTACATTATTACACTTGGAGTACATTATGATAAATTCATTATGTGTTTTTTGGTCTCTATTTTTTGTAAAGTTCAAACTTTACTTTAAACGCGATTTATAACTTTCTTACTTGCGTTAGCGAATAATTATGTGATTAAGATATTGAATACTATCCATATTATTATCCGGCCCTCCGGCGACTTCATTTTCCCACATCCCACAGCCCGCCGACTAGAGAAGTTGCTCACCCCTGACCTATTATTGCTAATTGCTATATCATCCATCTTTAAACTTGTTGACTTGCTGTAATGTTATAAATGACAGATTTCATCTTTGATTTCTTGCATATTACTTTGTCAAAGATATCGTCAAATTGTAATTAGAATCATTCACGTTTACTCTACGTTTGGTAATACAATGTTCATCTTTCAGGTCAATCTGGCTGGAAGTTGATTCTTCACATTCTTCTATATTTCGAACATCCTATGCTCATTGGATGGTGGAATCTTACAAGGATCTTTTCGATAATTTCCGATTTTGTCATTTTAGAAAATCAATTTAATACATTTTTAATATGGAATCAATTTTGCAATTTACTTGCAATGGTTACTATTGATTTGAAGGTTATTTAGATTTAGACCGTATTTCCGCATATTCAAACTGTTATAAACTGAGTGTTTACGTGGTAGAGTTCTCGCAATAATCGAAATCAAGAAAAGTGAGTTTGAAAACAGGATGCCGTTCTACTGTATGCATTCACCGGTTTCGGACCTATCATCTGTTATCATATACCAGGGGTGGCCAACACGTTGATCGCGATTGCCACGTCTCGTGCAGTCGATCGCGTCTGATGTGGAGTGTATTTTATTGAAATACCACCAAAAATTGCCTCGAGCCAGTTGTGTGTTTTACAACAAAAAGAATACAGTACTTTACATGCGCAATATACACATACAGTATTTGAGTCTGGGCAAGCCCGAAAAGCATATTATTACGTGAAAAATGCAAGTTTTACCGCTGCCATGGTTTAAAAATGAAGTGCCGAATATCGCGTGTCTAGACTGAGAAAAACGATCCTACAATAACTTCCGCAGTATGCGAAATTTATTGTCTTACTCCATGAGTAGTGTGATAAATTTTATTTGCAGTGGCATCAAAATGCTCAATTTGTTCTAATTCTAAACAAGAGAAGAGTCGCGTTTGGAGGAAGTTAGATAGGCTACTGAAGTTTGAGCAGTCACGTAACATTCATTCAATATTTATTTGTCGCTGTTTGGATAATACTTGCAAGGTTTCTTGGAGAATTTTCAACGCTTACGGATAAAAATTAGCCACGCCCTTTATCTGAATTGTATGATTTAAATAAATAATGAAACATTTACTCCGGGTACGAATAAATATTCAAATCAACAACTTGAAAAAAATACAAATTTTGTGCCGATTTTAATAATAAATATGCCCACAAAGCCTTCTTATAGGCAACGGTGGAATTTTTGTATGGGTGTGTGCAGTTATCTGCACATTCAGTGCCCATTCGTTTTTGTGTGGGACTTTATTACCGATCAGTCGATCGCGATCTATTTTGAAGATTTTAGTCGATCGCGGTCGAAAGCAGGTTGGCCACCCCTGTCCTATACCATAGCATTTGCACTACACCAACTGCAGCGCTAACTGTCTCGATAATTGGCCTGGGGGAGTGCGACCCTGAAGGGTGACCTTTGTGGTCTATGATATTTTTATTTGGACGATTAAACTAAAGTATAAGATATTAGGTTTCAAATGAAGTGTTATAAAATCTTCGTACTGGATTTGGCTAAGAATTGGAAACGTCTGCGCTGAACACTGCAAAAAATGTTGATGGCACATACCGTAAACTGCACTCACGGATATCTGTACTTACAGATTTTATCCCCCGCGCATATAGATTCCACCTGTGCCTATTTCCATCCACGAACGTTTGCACCAACAATTGCACCCTCGGACATTGGCATAAATAAACGCATATTTGCACCCATTAACACGCGGGTTCGAATGTCCGTACCCGTTTGTAAACGTTCATGGGCGCAAATGTTCACGGGTGCAGTCTATATGTGGGCTCTTGCAAATGTTCGTGAGTGCAAAATTATATCATATTTCACCAACTGAGGGTTTGCCTGTTAATACTGTTTTTAAATAATAATAACAAAGTCTGCACGAGTTTGCAAAACTTATTGTTACACGTAAAAAAGTGAGAGATTTAGATTCATAAATTTTGGAAACACAGTGAAAGGTATTTAGCAGCAAAATATATACAAATAAAAGTCCACCCTTTTACAGTATATGATTGCTAATTTTGAATACAAACTTGTGCTATTGATTGGGTCATCGTTCTTCTATTTTTGCGCCGTGGATCCGTATGTTTATAATAAAATGTAGGGATGCTGTAGCAAGAGTGAATGTAGCTATTGTAAGTGATTCAAAGTCTAACTGTTCACTAACATAAATATCCTAGCAAGGCAAGACAAAATATATCTACAAATCGGAAAAGTCAGCGCCGAACATTTTGTTTAAAATGGTGTAAGAACATTTGCACTCGTAAAATGCACCAACAACATTTGCACCCGCATACTTTCGCACCCACGGAATTTGTACCTACAGTTATTAGCACCCGCACATGTACATTTCACATTTGCACCCATGTATACATTTGCAACCACGAACATTTGCATGCACGTAAATCCGCATTCACGGACGTTTGTACCCTGGACATTCCCAATCACGAATATTTGCATAACCGCACATTTGCGCTCATGAACAGGCATGTGCAAATGTACGCTGGTTTAAATAAATGTATATACTTGGGCTATCTATATGTGGGCGCTAAAATCTGTGAGCAAAAGTAGGGATGCAAATGTCCGTGGGTGCAAAGATAATGAAAGCGACTAAAATGATATCATCTTCCATTAACTAAGTCTTTGCCGGTTACACTGTTTTAAATAATTAATAATAACAAAGTCTGCATGAGTTTACAAAACTTATTGTTACACTTTCACTTTCATTTTTGCGCCCGTGGACCCGTATGTGTATTGTGTATCATATAATGTAGGGATGCTGTAGCAAGAGTGAATATAGTTATTGTAAGTGATTCAAAAGTCTAAATACTCACCAACATAAATATCCTAACAAGGCCATACGAAATATATTTATGATAATATGCAACAAGACTCTTGGAACCCTTTGAATGCAAATATTTGTTTTTATGACGGTTGTACTAACGAAAGAGTAGCATTATAAAAGTACGCTATATCAGTAAGAGTTTTAAAGGCGAGTACTCGAGTATTAGAAAGACTAGGGTAAAAGAGAGGTATAAAATGATTTAATTCAGATCTGGCCCACAGCAGAACCCGCAACCGATGCATGTGTCTGTCTGTGAACAATAACCAAAATTCTGCTCGGAACAGTGATTTATCCAATTACAGGTTGACAATAAAATGTTTAGGTTGTTTTGATACTATAGCCTGAGACGTCTTTTCAAATTGTGGTTTTATATAATACGTCAGTTATTGAGTAGGCTACATTTACTCAAGACGTAGCATCTTTATAGAATTATCTAAATATTAGCGATATTGCAGAAATTGGGGAGAGAGATATTCAAGACAAATCAATCACATCATGGAACGTGAGTTTAGTTCCGAGCTCTATTTAAAATTTATGTTTGTTACGGCCTATATATGCTATTAAAATCATTTTCATTCCTATTTTTGATCGTTTTCATATCTTTTTGATCGTTCTCATATCTATTTTTGATATTGTACAATCAATGGGCCATCTCATCTAGTTGCCCGATTTATATAGTATATATATATGTTTTAGTGACCTTTTGCAAAAAAATCCGGCGCACTAACTGCTAATGTTGCATTGCCCTATCGTCACGCTAATAACCAAATTGCGTAAGTCATTTTTAGCAGTTTTGAGAAAAAAACTTTCTAATAATAAAAAAACTTCCTAATAATATTGTTAGACCATTGAGAGTCAATATTTTGCCATGGTTCAATTTTTTGATCGTAGCCAGATTTAAGTTAATTTGTAAGATGCAGTTAAGTGACGTCATAATGGCGAACTGTGACTTAGGCAGGAATGTGTCTATGACTTGTGGACATACGCAATTTTGCAACTTTACTATATGCACCAGTCCTGAAAACTAAACATTCCAAAAACGAATGTAATTAGCAAAAGAGCTAATCAGTTTGAATAACATTATTTTTTATGTTTAAAAATATATATTTCATCAATATAACACGTTCTGCACACCCACCGAAATAAGGCTAAGATTAAGTATAAAGAATAAAACAGCAATGCACCCAATATAAAAGCCAACCAAGGTGAATTGGACTTGAACAGTGAATATCACAAGTGCACGCCTTCCTATCTTGTAGTATAAATTCAAATTAATACGCGCTAAGCTGGAGTCAGAGATGCAAAAACTCGAAAATACTTCGCCGAGGTTGTTTTGCCTTTGTGACGTCACAATAGTCCTGTGGTAACAATGATAATTCATTATGATGAAACAATTGCACAAATGTGCATGCCATATTAAATCTCCATTTTTATGGGTTTCGGAAATCTCAAAATAAAATCTGAGTTAACAGACAGGTGCGCAGCATTACATAAATACCTATTTTATAAAAAAAAACTCAAAATCGCCAAAAATGACTTACGCAATTCGGTTATTAGCAGGACGCTATGTTTTCTCTAGTCATTGCCTAATCCATAGCTTTCCTAATCCTGATAGCATCATCAAATCAGATTTACCTAGGGGAATATATATATATATATATATGCACTGTTAGCACAGAAGCTTTTCTCGCAAAAACTACTACTATAAGCTTGTGGCAATTTATAGCCGCACTTTAGTCAATCCAATCCTGGGCGTGTCAAAATCAGACGGTACCTAAAGCTCGCATACGAGTATATTGTAATTATTCGATTCCAGAAAATATAATGAAGTTGCCGATCTACCAGAAGAAAGTTGGTATCAAATTTGAAGTTACCGAAGCAATGAAGCGTGACTTTGAAAAAGACGGATTCATAATTGTCAGGTGCAATGCGCTTTGTTTCATTTATAAGGTATATATATTCAATTAAATAGATATTTGAGTTCGCGTAATGACAGATTCTACAAATACGAAGTATATTCGAAAATTATATTTTAACCAAATTCACCAAACATAAAGCTTCTATATGTACACAGTTGATTGACAAAATTTGAATGACAGAAATTTATTTTCGAATGATGAAATTGCAAAACTGCGTGAAAGTTTGGAATCGCCAGAATCGGAACTGATGAAACGAACCTACAGTGATTCAGATGGCAGGGATGGGAGAATCCGAATAATTCTATGGAATCATCCTGGAGAAGATTATAGCGGTATTATGGGCAGATCCGAAAGAGTGGTTGAGACATGCAAAAAGGTAAAGTTAGCTATCTTTTTAAAATTAGACTCGCTATTATACTTTCCAATTATTCCTATTGAGTATCTCAGTTATTTTATCATAGTAACTTTTATCTGTAGCCAAGTACCTTACGACCGGATACCGGATATAATTTATCCTAACCAGCACCTTTCTAGCATCTAATCCTTTGAATAAAAGGTAGTTGCTTCCAAAGTCAATATGTTTTATGTCGATGTTTCTCTGACCTCATATGATTAATTTTACAGCTACTCGATGGGGAGGTTTATCATTATCATGGTAAAATAATTTTGAAAGATGCGCAAACAGGAGGAGCTTTTCAGTGGCATCAGGATTATGGGTCAGTCGTTCTCTATATAAATTCTTTCACAGTTGAGATTATTCGAAACTTAATTAGAAGTATAATATGCGAATATGTGTGAACAACATTTTATTTTTCAAGATATTGGTATCTATTTGGATTTCTACGACCGGACATGATGTCTGTTCAAGTAGCTATTGACGATGCTGACAAAACAAATGGCACATTACAAGTATGTTTTAAAAAGAATAAATAGGATTTATGTTTAGGATAAAATACACATATAAACCATTATTTGAACTACTTTTATCTTATTCATCTTCATAGATGAAATATGAGATCAGTTATTGTCATATATATATATTTGGTGTAACTTTGGTGTGTGACACATCCAAAGTAGTTTTATGACGCCGTGGCATCGCTATATTTTTTTATGTTTGGACGACAAAGTGACTTTAGATGTTAAATACGAAAAATAAAATGACGATTCATTCATGCGTCACATGTTCAAAACTCAGATCATCAGGGGCTCACACAAAATGGGACGAATTTATCACGGCAGAATAGGAGATCAGGCTGGAGCCGACATGGAACGAGTAGAAGCGGTAAGTTGTAGGCCTTTAATGAGGCAGCAAATACAATTTCCACCATTAGGTTTCACACCTAATCAATGTCTGACATAGAAACCAATGCCTATGACATTTTGGATTAGAATTTTTCCAATTTCCATTTTGTTAAATAGTAAATGAAATACCCACCAAAAAGTCTGCTGTGGTTGTGGTTATACTTTGTGGACAAACATATATGTTATATATATTATGTTAAATAGACATATGGATATTAATATATATTTTCATAGAAATATATTCCAGGCTCTGCAAACTATGGAAAAAATATACGTAGACAAGAAAGCAGGCGATGCTTTATTCTTTCATTGCAATCTTCTGCACACCAGCGATCAAAATTTAAGCGATCGACGAAGATGGAGTTACATTATGTGTTATAATCGGTATGCCTGTTTGTTAATCATTTTCTATTGAGACCACGGGGAAGTATATTTATATAGGATAGTACATTTAGATTTAGACAGAACATTTCTTATTTTGATATGGTTCTTCTAAGTGTTGAGATCACTGTTTACAATTTCTTATGTATATCACAAATCTGATTTGTTTTGTAGGACAGATAACGACACGTTTAAGGACCATTTTCTGAATCAATCGCCCTTAATAAAGGTAAGTATTTATTGGACACAAAAAGTACGTTGTGTTAAATTATTATTGTTTCCGAAATGATTCCGGACTAAGGAAACAAAGTACCGCCTTCAAAAATGTAATAAACGCCATGCTGAAATCTGTGAGTATCAGTGATTTCGCAAACTATGATTCCACACAAAATAGTACGAATTGTTCGAATTAACCTGCTGTATTTTCCTTATAGCAGGGGTCGGGAACCTTTTTGGTCAAGAGAGCCATAAAATATACATATTTTCAATTGCATTTCCGTGCGAGCCATATAACATTTCTTCACTTAATCAGGCCTGAAATGTTTACTCAAAAGTCAACACATACAATGTAAATATACATTTAATGTGATTTCTGATGCTACATGTAGTCGCTACGGGCCTTGAACGGTTGCTCACATGCAGCCCAAGTTGAAATCTACGATACTCATCACTCTTTTTTGTTTAGGCATCTCCGTAGTGTTTTTAAAACTCACAATGTCACAATATATGTGATGTCACAATATATGTTCCAGAATCCCCTTGTTTGTCACAATGCCTGTCTGTCAATTATCTTACATAACATAGACATGTACTGGACGCGCGTTCTCAAACGTATTGGGAATTTCCTGCCAAATTTGGCTATAAAAGAGTTTGAAATTTCGTAACAATAGTAAGCTCAGTCTTGGGATATTAGATTTTTCTGGGAGCCATATGCCGTCACCAAAAGAGCCATATATGGCTCGCGAGCCATGGGTTCCCGACCCCTGCCTTATAGGTTCCTGATTCTGCTGTTTTGGAGTGTGACGACTTCACCAACATGGAGGGAAAAATTTTCCATATCCCTGAGCAAAAAAAAACATTTTCTTATGAATATATACCAAAGAAGGATGATCAATAACTATTCAATAGATAAATATAATGATTAGCATATATATATTTCCAAATATTGACACTTATGATTCGTTGAGTTGTTATTATTCAAACAAATTACAAATGTCAAAATGTGGTCTTAGACAGGCATTCCTAAAATTTTAATGCAAAATTGAGGTGATAGATAAAAATTCTGCAATTGTATTTTGAAACACTGATTTTAGTTAAGCCCCTACGACTGCGAATATTAAGAGCAGAAGTTTACTGTTTGTTTGTATGATTATCTCTGAACAATATTTAAACAGGCTTGTTCAATATTAACCAAAATGCACAGCAGATCACTGGTTTGTATTTGTCAAGTCTACATGACAATTCACAAGCAATTGAGTGAGCCATGTGGAGGTGTTATGTTGTTCACCAAATAATAGCTCGCAGTGCAGTAATTACCAAGGTACGTCCACGCGGTCGAGAAAAAATTTAGAATGGAGAATTGGTAGCATGCTAGCTTTGTCCCCAATAACGTAGCAATTAAAATAATAGACTTAATACCGTCCAAGAGGGAATGTATAAAATATTTGCTCAGCAACGTCGAAGCATCATGTAGGTTAATATCAGAGTCAGAATCCGTATCAGCGTTCCAGAATGAATGCGATTTCATTTACACAAAAATGTTTCGAAAGTTCATTAAGTATTTTTAATATTGTATATATTCGAAACATCAATCTTACGCAGCGACCCAAGATCACAGACAAATTTGACATATCGTTGCAAACAGTCGCATACATGTTTAACGGACATTTATATGAAATAGTTCATAGCCAATTCGTCCAGTGACGAAATACTCGTATATGAAACACTAACTGCAGAAATTTGTAGTCATTTGATTCTGGATAATTTGTTAAACTCGTTTTTTCTAACAGTAAATGTTACACGATATAAGCTTCTCTGGCCAGTCATACCCACTGTTTTACCACAGTCACGCTTCAGTGATTCCTGCTTATTCCAGGCTTCAGAAAAATTTAAAACACTCACCGATTAAATTGTTTGCATACAAAAGGTTATTCCATTTTAGCGTTTTCCGTTCGTATAAATATGCGCAACAAACGAGTCTGACTCTTCGGGCGTGGCGCAATCTATTAAGGTAGCCAAATGCCTCGTCATCTAATTAGTGACGCGCATGAATGGATTAACGAGATTCCCTCTGTCCCTGTCTGCTATCCGGCGAAACCACAGCCAAGGGAACGGGCTTGGCGGAATTAGCGGGGAAAGAAGACCCTGTTGAGCTTGACTCTAGTCCGACTTTGTGAAGAGACATGAGAGGCGTAGGATAAGTGGGAGGCCTTCGGGCCGACAGTGAAATACCACTACTCCCACTGTTTTTTTGCTTATTCAGTAAAGCGGAAAGCGACCCGGCAACCCCCGGGTCACACATCTGGCCTTAAGCCGGCGGCGTTCGGTCGCCGGCGATCCGCTCTGAAGACGGTGTCAGGCGGGGAGTTTGACTGGGGCGGTACATCTGTCAAAGAGTAACGCAGATGTCCTAAGGTGAGCTCAGCGAGGACGGAAACCTCGCGTAGAGCAAAAGGGCAAAAGCTCACTTGATTTGGATTTTCAGTATGAATACAGACCGCGAAAGCTTGGCTATCGATCCTTTTGAGTTTGCGAGTTTCAAGCAAGGGGTGTCAGAAAAGTTACCACAGGGTTAATATTTGAATCAGGAATTTTTTTAGCAATTGTTATCTTGGAACACGCTACCAATAAAGTAATAATATATATAACATTTACTCCATTGAAGCAATTTCGGTGACTCATCAGATACATTATGGAGCGTGAGTATTTAATTTCATAGATCACCTGTTTTATTGTGCGTGATGTTATTACTTATCGATCTTAAGATCGGTAAGTATGTTGATAGGTATTTGTCTGTCTGTCTATCTGTCTGTTAGATGCACGCGATATCTCACGAAAGCGAGATTGGATCCGCTGCAGATTTTGCATGTACATTCATCATATCTCGTACCAGAAGCCTATTGGCCTATTTTTGGCGAATTATGTCGTATAATTAGCGAGTTATCAATTAATTAGTGATGGGACACAGGGTGTCACTATGGAGTAAGAGCGCTGTTTTGGGGGATCCCCTAACTTTCGATCGATAAGTCTTCGGTCTCTGATCGATATACTCGTCTACATCTTAATGCTAACAAATCTTACTATAAGCAAGCAGTCATGCTATGTATCCGGCAGTAACTAAATCTAGTCCATCACATTTATTACTTATCGATTTTAATCGGTAAGTATGTTGATAGGTATTTGTCTGTCTGTTTGTTACTTATCGATTTTAATCGGTAAGTATGTTGATAGGTATTTGTCTGTCTGTTTGTATGTCTGTCTGTTAGACGCACGCGATATCTCACGAAAGCGAGATTGAATCTGCGCCAGATTTTGCATGTGCATTCATCATATGTCGTACCAGAAGCCTATTGATTTTGGATGAATCATGTAGTATAATTAGCGAGTTATTAATTAATTAGTGATGGGACACAAGGTGTCACTATGGAGTAAGAGCGCTGTTTTGGGGGATCCCCTAACTTTCGATCGATAAGTCATCGGTCTCTGACCGATATTCTCGTTATATCACTGGGAAGGTGGACGTGATGAAACGTAAATCAAAAATTCCAATTATAGTACGACAACAAAGTTGCTAAAGAAGCGGGCCATAACTGCTAATGAAGCGTATATTTTGATTACGAAATTTTAGACGATGGAACAAAGCTACCAATATATGAAAGGAAACCTGGACAAAAATTTGAAGTTACTGAATCCATGAAGCATGAATTCTCTAAAAACGGATTCATTATCGTCAGGTTGAATAATCTGTCATATTTAGATTAATCAAATTCCTATAAGAGCTGGTAGCATTTTGGTTAGCAATCTTCACAAACGACGTTATTACACCAGTAAGCGAGCCTATAGTGGTTTATTTGTAAAATCCATCTGCACAGCCTTACCACCTTAACAATATTAGGTTCAAATAATAACCAACTCCATTTGAAATATTGTGAACGGAATGAAAAGTTCATAGCGAACTTGAATTATTCTAACATCCCAAAAACATGTATATATCTTACGAGGGAATATCTCCTCGAGCTGATTCAAATATTCAAAAACTTGAAATAGTAGAATTTGATTCATTCGATCCGTTATCTTAAATATAACGTTTCCTTATCTTGTTCAGGAACTTATTTTCGGACGAAGAAATCACGAAATTGCGAAAAAGTTTGGAATCACCTGAGTCAGAACTGATGAAAAGGTCTTATAGTGATTCAGATGGCGATGGTGGGAGAATAAGAATAATTTTATGGAATCATCCTGGAGATGATTATAGTGGTGTTATGGGAAGATGTGAAAGAGTGGTTGGAACATGCGAGAAGGTTAAATCTAAATTATTCGTACATTTGAATGAAAAATTAAATTTGACCAAACAGACCCTGTGTTGTCAAATTTTCTAATATGTTTAAACAATCTCAATTTATTTTCGAGAGTTTTGAGCATTAACCATTCATTGCTAAAAGACTTTTTATACATACACTATAATTGCAGTTTTGGGTGAAAATCGAGTTGCTTTCAACAAATGTATATTTTTTATACAAAATTATTCGTATTGACTAAATCGTTCATAGGCACAATGAAAATAGAATACCGGGCAACTTCTAAATATCTGGGGTGGTCTCAATTTTACAGCTAATCGGAGGAGAGGTTTTCCACTACCATACTAAAATGATTTTGAAAGATGCTCGAACAGGAGGAGCTTTTCAGTGGCATCAAGATTACGGGTGTGACGATTTTTATATCTACTTTATCCTAAAAAAAAATAGTTGATTGTAAATCGGGACGATTTTTATAATGATAATTCAAATATCTATGGTACATTATCAACTTGTTTTCTGCCTACACGAAACTTTGCGTTGCGATCCTTCTGCGGCCAAATTTTGGCCATTTGTCAAGTGTATATAAAAATTTACAAAACAAACCCAATACGATTATTATGTTCAATAATTATTGTAAGCTCAAATATTGCAGATATTGGTATCTTAATGGAATTTTACGACCAGATATGATCTCAGTTCAAGTAGCAGTTGACGATGCCGACAAAGGAAATGGCGCTTTGCAGGTCGGATTTGAAATACAGACCAAATATATTAATTCATGGTCGAATAATTGTAACAAAACTTGATCGGAACTATTTTCACCAACTTTGATACTAATAAGATACTGATCCTCAACTTGGCTTGATAGAAATTTTTTCTTTCGTCGAGATATATTTAAATAGAGTGAAATACAACAGCTCCATAGTAATAGAACCCTTTTATCTGAAGTCGCAATTAATGTTATTCGGGGCCGTCGTTTTATTTGAGACATATATAGGTCGTCAAAGGTTCACATAAAATGGGAAGAATTGATCATACCAGAATCGGAGACCAGGCCGGAGCGGACCCGAAAAGAGTGACTGAGGTAAGTTATTCATACTCCGAAAGGGGTGGATTGATACTTCTAAGCGATATATATTACCCAGATTTTCTGGAGCTGGATTGGAATGGTACATAAAATTTAAATTGAGCTAAAAAAGTCTTTGCTAATAGCATGAACCTAAACTTTATTGAACAAGTATTAAACAGCCAATGAAGCTGATCAATTTTACTTAGCACAAAAAATGTTGGGCATCAAATTTATTGATTGCTTGAATCTAAAATGCAAAAAATGAATATTCCAGGCATTGAAAATTATGGACAAAATATACGTAGAGTTGAAAGCTGGCGATGGATTATTCTTCCACTGCAACCTTTTGCATACCAGCGATAAAAATTTAAGCGATCGCAGAAGATGGGCTTATATTTCTTGCTATAACAGGTTCGTCAATGTGATTGCTATTATCTTACTGCAACGTGGTCATTTTTGCTTTACCGATATGTTACAAAACATTTTTAATTGTATATATATTGAAAAAATTAATTACTTGAAATTAAAAAATTCAATTGGAATAATAATTTTATTTAGCATGTACTTATTTGTTTTCAGGGCAGATAACGACTCATATCAAGATCATTTTCACGCACGATACACTCCTCTGAAAAAGGTATATATATGTTACAAAGATACTTCAACCTTTGGAGTTAATTCTTCATGTGTGAATTGTTGCAAATCGTAAAAAGATTGAAGTTAGTTTATATCTACCAGTCGATTTTGATCATATACCAAGGATAACGCCGAGGTTTCCTTTTAATGCACATGTCTCCTTGCCAGGTGCCCGATTCTTCCGTGCTCGAATGTGACGACTTCAATACGATGGATGGAAAATGGTTCCACGTTCCCGATCAAAACAAAGATTTTTCTTATGAATACATTCCAGAGAAAAAACAATAAATTAATTTCCAATTTTTGTTGTTGTCTCGTGTAAATACGATACCAAATATATACCCAAAACTAAACTGCATGTTTGAAACTTCTGGCAGATAAAGAGACATGTAAATAATGCAATACCACTGAATATTCATCAATTGAATTGATACTAGTATTGTTTTAGCGCATCTCAGCTGTATAAGAAACTCATGCTACATTCCTATTCGATGTTAACCTCTTAATCTCTTTCCATTATTCGCCCTAAAGCGCTTCGCGCTATGGTATTTATATTATGAGATTGCTTCCATTTTTGGACAAAACTGTATTGTTTCTGCGGAATTATGTTTATCGTTAATGCTATATCTCGTCACTCTAAACCTAAAGTGATATGATTTTAAGGTAATATATTTTTAGAGGTTCCATGTCTTTAATATTTATCTATTGTATATATATCTCGGCACATGTAGTAACAGAGCTAAAAGTCTCCATCGAATTCGAGCTACCTGCCGAAAAAAATATAAGAGTGAATGGTTTCATTCCGCTTTTCGAATCCATACTATATATACGGGCGGATCCAACTTGTAGTTTTGAGTGCTCGAAAATATAATCACTGCATGTCTCGAGTTCAAATGAGTAGCCTACCACTAAATATTACGGGTGCTTTCTGGTGAGTAGGCGCTATGTATCTTCGTCTCTCATCGTCAAAATAGTAGAGTGTATACTTTCAAAATGTTATCTTAGTATTGCAAACTATGTTATATATGTGGTAACCGTCAAAAAAGTTCTGTCTGTATAGATACAATCCATTCATTCCATTCTCTTGGTAGACAAGCTGGTCGGACTTATCAATAGGAAATTTGTATGAGTAATAGCTGCGCCGGATGATGAGCGTGACGTTGCCTCATCGATGAAAATATTATGCTCGTGCCTGGCCTTGTTTAGAAATTATTGTCGTGACTGCAGACAGGTTTTGATTCGAGACGCAAATTAACTGTTATCTTGTACTGAGCCTATAATTACACTAGTATTGATCCGTTCTGACACAAAGTTTTAGTTGTTGCAGTTCCGCTGACTGTAATAACATACTTAGGTTGTAAAATAAATTTGTATAGCTTATTCCTGTGCAAAATATTTTGAATACAATGATATCTGTTTCGAAAATAGTTTCAAAAATATTATACCATATACCAAGTAATAGAGAAAACAACCGTCTGATAGCAAGCTTATTTGGACATCGAACTTATATGTTTGGGTCAAGATTTTTACTCGTTCAGTAATCATAAGTAATAGTGAAATTAGTCTTGATAACTAAAAGTTGCAGTTGTAATTTTGATGTCAATATGTTGTATTGCAACTTATGTGAAGACTCTTACAACATCCCATCGCGTCTGGAATGTCCAAGTATGTTTATCGCGAGGTCAACAAATGAAATCTAGCAAAATTTCCGTCGTGCGCATAGGATTTGTATGCACAAGCTGCACGTGAACAAACATCTCTTCTGTTCAACACGAGAAATATACACGGTAATAACTCAGTTGAGCGAAGGTTGAAATTTAGATGCGTTGTTGACTTTAGACTGTTTTGGTTGTCTTGTATTTGGCTAAAATCTGTGGGCAACGAGCAGTGGCATGACTAGAGAAGGACAAAGGGGGCAGCCGCCCCGGGCAGCACGTTATAGGGGTAAGTTTGTTGCTTAGTTTGATTATTTAAATAATAATATTTCAAACATTTTACTCTTACTTGAATTTTAATTTATTTATTCTTATGTATAACAACATCTATAATTTGTTTATTCCCCAAATCATTCTTTAAGATAGGTATAAAGGGCAGCATTATCAGAAAGTCCTGGGCAGCAGTAAAGTTTGACACGCCACTGGAAACGAGCCAAGCAGTCTTGCATATAATTGAACAGAACGTTAGCGCCAAATGCATTTTAACTAAAAGAGAGGTTTTGGGTTGAGCGAATGTTTCGAGATCTACAAATAATCCTAAAAGCTTATATGTCTTGGTACTTCATGTATTGTGCTGTGTGCCTTAAATTGCATCAGTATTATAGACTCAATTGCCGAGGGACAGAATGAAGTTGGTCGTCTGGCTCACTTGGTTAATCAAGCTTAGCTACATTAAATGCAATACCAAGAAGTTGTGGTACATCGCTGTAATGTAGTATGGCGAAGAGTTCGAGATTGAAAGCATAGCATAGCATCAAAACAAAAATTATGTTTGCACTCACTGAGGCTTTTTCATGCAGGACTTGGAAAATTGGTTGTCATAGTACTGATTAAAGCGTACCGCTTATGCCGAATCTGAATATTGCTTCATCTATATAAGTACCGGTACGTGGAGTTCTCCGAACATTTGTAAATTAATTTAGAAAGATACATTTTCACAGATTAAAGGACACTTTAATGCATTCCACGATTAAATATACAAATATATTATATCAGCACAGTGATTTTTTAATCACCCGATGCATATCTTGCATAACCTACAAAACAAACTTTAGATTTAGTTTCATGATGTAAAACACCCCGGTATTTTTCATTTTCAGATTCCGCTGAGGGTGATTATCAGTTCTATCAAATATAGGTAACAGTTGGATTTCCGTTAAAAATGTTTAGAAAGTTGATGTAAAAATCTTCAAACTGGTAATAATTTAAGATTAAAATTTCAAAGTTTCAATTTTTTAATGAATGTATCTTTTTTTTGAGCTGTAGTTTTCCAAAAAATTTGCAGTGACATATTCGTACGTGAACTTGAATTTAACGAATTATCCTATATGAAAGATTTCAGTTTAACAGAGTTTAACAGTAAAAGCTTTCAAGTTTATCGTAGTTAAGTTTTTGCATAAAGACGTTGACACCTATATATAATAATGAAGTTAATTCAGTACACGAATCAAGTAACAGGGCATGATTGCTTGCTGACAACAGAGGATTATGCTTCTATTTGTAAAGTGAAACATGGACGGGAACTAGAATTCTATCGAGACGTCGATGAGTCTCTCAGGCCACACTTACCCTTATTTCAAGGTGTGTTGGAATAAATATTATATGATACGTGGTCTGAACATACTGCACATATGTGGCGTTTGATTTGGCTTCAAATTTTTTGAATATTTTAAACGCTATTGCATTGATATATCTTTGGATTAGTAATTTTCGAATGACGTTTTTAAAGATTTTAATGGGACTTACCATAATAGGTGAAATCATTTCTAAGCGATATTCATCATAATTATATATTTCTCAACAAAACCATTTTTTTTTATTAAATTTGATATTTCCTGATTTTCATTTAAACATATATATTATATATAACACAGTGTTAATATTGCATTATTAACATTATAATTCTTTGAATGAATTTCTATATAATGTGATATATATTTTAAATTTTAATCCTCTTATACGTATACGTAAAAACGTTATTTCGCCAGCATCAGTTTAGAACTGTCAGTTTGCTTTAAGTTTCCTTTCATATATTCAAACATAAGAATAAACTTTATTGAGGCAAGAGCAATGAAACTACTCTTTTTTTGGTTTAATATAGGCGTTGTTGATGTCACTGTATCTGTTGATGAAGACGGAAAATATGATTTTAATGGTCATTTTGAGAATGGTCGAAAAAATGGATTTATTACTGCGTCCTCGGATATTTCGAAAAGAGCGTTTCAGAATGATTATAAATACAGGTACTCAATCTTTTCAAATATATCTATTCAATTTTACAATTATGAACCCGTTATCAAATGATAAACAAATACTTTATTTATTTTGACCGCGATCATCATAAATGCGCTGGTCATTTTACGTTTTTTGTTTCTAATGAGCATTATGCAGGTAAGTTATTCAGTTTGATTTTTAGGAATTTAGAACCCAGCCAACTAGAAGAAGATCCGAATTTCAAGCGAAATTTTTTCACAAACGACTTCAGTAAAGGTCTTCCCGCCCCACCATGTGATGTTGGTCGAAATCCTTGGGCAGAAAGGGTCCAGAGGATGGGACGTCACACAAAACACAAAGGAAAAACAATTAGTATCCTTTGCTACTGAATTAAAATTATTAGTTTGGACTTATACCGAAGTGGAAGTTGATATCCCTTTTTTACCTACGACTGTTGATGATCGTGATGAAAGTGGAATTTTCTGCAATCAGTATGATTTGTATTGGTTGTAATGTTGATAGAAAACGCCATGTGTTTGTGAATTTACCACACTTATAGGATATTGATACAGTAATAAGTATGCCTAATTATTAACTTGATCGACACAAATTTTTCGCTTAACATTGCCGTTTCATTGTCAAAAGCCTATATTATACTGGAAAATCTGACTAAAAAATTTGAAAAACCTTGTATACTGGATATGAAAACAGGCACACAGCTGTATGCAAAATCAGAATGTACTCAGGAAAAATTTAGTCATCGTGAAAGAAAAAACCGTACTACTACCACAGCTGCAATTGGTTTACGACTATCTGGATTTCAGGTACGTAAATGAGTTTACGTTTACTTTAAAATCATATCTGAAGAATTGGTTGATAATCGACGGTCGGCAGACACAGTCTATAAACATAAGTACATAAACATGCATTTTATTGCTCTATGTATTAGTTTATAGCTTGAATTCCTACAGCCATAGTTCAAAAATTACTTGATTAACGTAGCATGTTTATTGAAGTGTAAGTAAACCTGCATGGTTCATGTTGATATGTTGGCGTGTTTGATCTGTTATTCAGGTATATCAAGATGGTGGATTCGTTTGTCGAGATAAATTTTATGGTCGTGGTCTTACTCCCAAAGGACTTGAGGACAGCGTTAGACTGTTTTTTACCGGGAAAAACAATGCCTTAAGGAGAAAGATGATTAACAATGTTATTGAAAAGGTTCAAATAAATATTTCTGTACTTTCGAATCTACACGGATATCGTTTTTTTGGTTCTTCAATAGTTGTGGTTTATGAAGGACATGATGCCGACGTAATACATGTAAACGATAAATCCCCAAGGACTGACGTCAGACTGGTGGACTTCGCACATTGTCGAACTGAAGCGTTTGACGACGACGAAGCAAAAACTGTAGGGCCCGATAAAGGATTCATATATGGTTTGTCGTCGTTTATACAAATTTTGAAAAACATCCAAATTCAACAATCAGAGTCGGGAACACAAATTAACAATAGTGACTGTTGTTCCAAAAATTGGTCAACCGATTAAATTTTCTCAACTCGGTACACAATAATTTCACATATACTACTATTATACCACACACTTTTATATACCGTATAAGTGTATATATACAATTTAGCAGATGAGAATATTGCCAACAACGTCATTGTACAATCTTGTGACACTTCTAAACCTCACTCAATAGAACTGAACTAAAATTTATTACCTCAAAAGATTTGCGTAAATCATAGAAAACTAAATCTAGCTAACAAATGCAAGTTAGAAAATTTCTAGTTGCGTCACTTCAAGTATAGTTATCAATTGTATCTATGTTTCTCTGCAAAATGACGCATTTTGTTAGACGGTGTAATGAGTGTTATTGATATCGTTAATAACGACGCTTGTTGGGTACGGACGTGTACATATAGATCATTTTGCTAAATTGTTGTTGTGGTTTTTCTTGTTTGCGTGATTGTTGCTGCAAGAAAAAAACGTTTTTTTCACTGCGCAATTAATAGAATTATCGAATTTAAATTTCAGTACCTGAAGGGTTAATGCCGCTAGAAGACTATTACTTTGATTTTTCTGAATATCTTAAGGTGCTTGATATTTCATACAAAACTTTGCTGCTCTTATTATTTTATTTAGAGCTTTTTATCCTGTCAAGCTTTCTCGTCGATCCTTTTAACAAACTCGGCGCTCTAACGCTTTTCCTCACCAGTACCAAGCGCGACCATCGTGTACATATATTTGACCATTGCTCTCTTGTTCAAGGAATAATAGAGAAGATCATTAAAAAATAGACTATTAGGAATTTATTCTATTCTGGGGGAAACTGATCTCGATACTGTGTTGGAGAACTCATAACGAAACCGTATATGTCATTTTATAATATATGAATCATTTTGATTTTGTCTGTGGATTTGCATTTGACGTTGTAAAAAATATAATATCACAATCTAGAGCAGTGGTTCTTTAACTTTATAAGCCGCGCCCTCTTTTTAGAATTTGTCAAGTCTCGCGTTCCACCTCAAAAATAACTAGCTAACAATAAACTGCAAATAACAGATAGTAAGATGGAAGTATGCTTTATTCAAAATCTAACAAATATATTTGCTTTAAATTAGCTTCACGCCCCTCAAAAATTTGTCTACGCCCCCTTATGGGGCGCGCCCCGCCGTTTGAGAACCACTGTTATACCGAGTATACTGAAATTGTAGTCAAATTACTGATTTTATTAAACTATATTAGTTTTTAAATGGTTATGTATCAATTTTTATTGTTTATTTTCCAAAATTCTTATCTAGTGGCCTATCACTCCCCAGTGGCTCCATGCTTTCCAGTAGTGTAGCGGTTTTATATCCTCAATGTCTTTCTTATTCGCAATAAGTTTGTAATGAAGGTATATTTTTAACAACCTCAAGCTAATTTGTAAATATCCAATGCGAATTGATAAAACTTGCTTAAAAATCAATACCCTAACCATGGATGTCATTGGTTTTTATTGATTATATTGATTTTTAATCTTTAAAATTTTGTGCTCACATTTTCATAGACATAAAGATTTCAAATATATTTTTACAAACCTTTATATATTTCGACAAATACTACAGATCGATATGCAATTAATTGAAATTTTTCATAAATTATTAAAATATTTAACGATAATTTTTTCTCATGGCAAATGGGGAAATGTATATTCCTGGCGTTGCAAATTGCCAGTGATTCTTTGATTTTAATGGAAATTTTGGATCGTATTGATCGTAAACCAAAGAACTCATTGCAGAAAGGATGTTTGTATAGATAAGTCGTTCTTTGCATTTATATTTTATACTGGTCTTAGTAAGGAAAATTTCTATCAATGATACTGTTCAGCCAGTGATTTTTCTAACGTATAGTAAGCGCATAGTTTAATCCAGTGCCAATGTTTTTTTCTATGATTTGCCTAAAAGTCGTTGGCCTTTTTATATTAAAATGGTTATTACTAATGCGAACAATTGGTCTCTACTTGAAAATGACATGAAAATTGCGTTTTAGCAGCATTTATGTAGCCTGCAAAACTAAAACTGCAAGCAAAATGCAAAATTTTGAACCTTTTTGAAAGATAAAGAAGCCACCTCAAAAGTGGAAAACTTGATTCTAATGGAAGCTTGCGAAAAAACTTATGATAACTCTCTGTTGTTGCATGGACCCAGTTCCCGGGTCTAAATGAAGGCTTATGCAGAGACTTTTTCTGAGCAGCAAATATCTGAAAACATCCTTCAAAAACTTAAATACGGTTATTTTCTGGCCATTATGATTTCTGTATTTTAAACCTATGAATCAAATTTTTGATAGTAATATATTTTCATTTCGTCGTTTCGCCATTTATTGTACCTCACCCACATATTGTTTTTTAACGAACAACTTACCCAGAAGGTGATTCTGGGTCATATACTAAGAACTAACTTGCAAAAAGGATTGAGCTATGTTTCCAGTCATCTTAATTTGCAAACAAAATTTCCACAGCAAAATATCGGGCACAAAACATGCCATTTTTGTGGATTGGGCATCTTTCTGCACGAACAAAACTTTTTCTACAATTTGTTTATTTTATACAACAAACAGAGGCAATTTCTTATTCAAATAATAATTTTTAATTTGCTATTTTTATGCTACCGAAATATTTATTAGAATGTATACTTTATTATCGACTATTGCAATTAGTCCAATTTAATTAAAGTGTTTCGTTGAAATATAGACCTGTTAATTCGATAATTGGTATGGAATAAATACTATTAACGCATAATCGTTATATATATTGTAACTTCCGTAGTTATAGTATTGTTAAGTTTTTGATAACCTTACTAGAAAATATACTATTTGGATAAAAATAGGGCCTAAAGGAGAAAGAAGTAGATTGTATGAAAATTGTTGGCGAAGAGAAGAAAAAAAAGAGTAGAAAGAAAGTGAGAGTGAGAATTATAGACCGAGTGATGAAACGAGTGTTCGAAAAGCAAAACGGAAATTAGACTGATAATATTTCAATAAAAGTCTTCAAAAATCAAGAGTAAAACAGACAAATGTTTAACCGAAAAAGTTAAATTATCGCAGTCATGAATATCGAAAACAATTTTCTATTCTAAAAGCATTTTCTGTGGACAATGGAAGGACCTGCTTCATCATACTCTTGTTTTGAGATCCACATTTGTTGAAAGGTAGAAAGAGATGCTAGGATTGAACCTCCAATCCATACAGAATATTTTCTTTCTGGTGGGGCTATGATCTTGATTTTCATTGTGCTTGGTGCAAGGGCAGTGATTTCTTTCTGCATACGATCAGCAATACCAGGATACATAGTGGTTCCGCCGGAGAGCACGTTGTTAGCGTACAAGTCCTTGCGAATATCGATGTCGCACTTCATGATTGAGTTGTAAGTAGTTTCGTGAATACCAGCTGATTCCATACCTGTACGAAAGAACGTTTAGAATTAGAAATAGCGCAATATCATGTTCTCAAGTACAAGAGTCAATTTCAACCAATACTTACCAATGAATGAAGGCTGGAAAAGTGTTTCGGGGCATCGGAAACGTTCATTTCCGATGGTGATTACTTGACCGTCGGGAAGTTCGTAGCTCTTTTCAAGAGAAGTTGATGAAGCAGCTGTTGCCATTTCTTGTTCAAAGTCAAGTGCGACATAGCACAATTTTTCTTTGATGTCGCGGACAATTTCTCTTTCTGCGGTTGTTACGAAAGAGTATCCTCTCTCGGTCAAAATTTTCATCAAGTAGTCGGTGAGATCACGACCGGCTAAATCCAAACGAGCGATGGCATGAGGCAGAGCGTATCCTTCATAAATTGGGACGTTGTGAGATACACCATCACCAGCATCCATCACAATACCTGGAGGAAATAAAATGAATACAGTCATTCACATGTCACGACAATCGTCGTTCAGCCTTGGAATATGAATGCAAGTTCCAAATAATTCCAAATTAAAGTTCATTTCATCCTTATTTTAAACCGATTTAGCTATGAATTGATTCAAAAAAAAATAGCAGAATACGTTTAGTATAGAATATATTTTCTAAATGCGCGAATAAACTATATACTTGAACACTTACCAGTTGTACGACCAGATGCATATAGAGAAAGTACAGCTTGGATCGCAACGTACATTGCGGGGACGTTGAACGTCTCGAACATGATTTGTGTCATCTTCTCTCTATTAGCTTTGGGGTTGAGTGGAGCTTCAGTGAGAAGAGTTGGATGTTCTTCAGGAGCAACTCGAAGTTCATTATACATGGTATGATGCCAGATCTTTTCCATGTCATCCCAGTTAGTGATGATTCCGTGCTCAATTGGATATTTGAGAGTAAGGATACCTCTCTTGCTTTGGGCTTCATCTCCGACGTAGCTATCTTTTTGTCCCATACCAACCATAACACCTTGATGTCTTGGTCGTCCGACGATGGATGGAAAAACAGCTCTGGGCGCATCATCGCCTGCAAAACCTGATTTAACTAACCCAGATCCGTTGTCGCAAACGATTGCAGTTTGATCTTCTTCGCCATCGGACATTTTGGTTGCTGCTGTTTATATCGAGAACTAGATAGAAATCCGTAAACCTTAGTTGTTTTAACCAATGAGGTAATGAATGAATACCGCTCGACCCATCGGTATTTATAACTCCACACAGTTGTTCCTTTTTGCTCCTATGAATCGATCGAACTTATGTTAGCACCTCATTGATCGATATTGAGCTGCGAATAACTTGTATGCGTGAAAATCAAGATTGCATACGACTCGTACGCACCTTATATGGTAGCGATTCGGAAAAACATTCCTCCTGGCGTCTCCAAAATTAATGAATTGCATATTGAGATCAATATCCTATCAACTACAAAGTTTAAAATAATTTTATATTTCGGCAGAAGTTGAAAGGTATGGCACCGCCAGTTGGTTTACAAAAAGTTTTATCTACTATTTTCGTAGTTGTAAGCATGTAATATCGCTACACTGGAACATAGATTCGAATCGTGCGTGAACATTGTGCTCTCTTCGAAATCTGTAGGCTTAATGGTATGATATGTCGTATTTTGAGGAAATAAATTTGGCTCTGTTTCATTGATTCATATTATCTTGTGGGTGTCTACAGGATTATGCGGAATCAAAGGAATAGTATCGACAAATTTGTTCTCCACTAAAATAGATATTACTATTCATGACTGACTTTGGGTAACTTTGTCCAACTGACCCCGTGGTGGTCAAAAAACAAAACCACTTTTGTGATAATGTATTTGAGAATTTTGAATTTCCCAAATAAATTTGAGCAAGTAACTAATTATCGCATGTCGAGGTTACCAAGGTTTCATCGATTATTTTAATTTTGCGTGTTCGATGTCGTTTTTTTGTTATTGTATTCAAAAATATTTGAATATAGTGAGTGCATTGCACGTGCTTTTCATCAATTTTGGGGTAAAAACTCGAAAATATTGCTTCATGATGGCGATGGTCTTTAAAACGCGATTTTCGCCGTAATTATTAGGTTGTCCAGCGATACTGTATTGTATAAGCAATTAAAAGTATTTATATGAGCAAGGTGAAACTATGCGTAGTCTTTTGGTACTTCACATCATTATTCGAACCATCACTCTAATATTCAAGGAGTGGATTCGAATACTTATTTGACCTTTGACTCCAAAATAAAAAATTCGTTCCATTGAGGTTAGATTCGAAATTTCAGTATATTCAGATAGATTTCAACAAAAATGATGAAAATGTCATTGTAATTAAAATTTATCAATTCTAGGGCATCGTTCAGAATCAGATAACCTTCAAGTTCAAACAACTGATTTTCCAGATATTTTATTCTGGACTGGTTTTGTTTGAAGTATTTATATGAGCAAAGTAAAACAATACCTAGTCTTTTGGTACTTCACATCTTTTAATTGAACTATCACCTTAATATTTTCCAAGAAAAGGGTGTAGGAGTATCTTTAAAACGCACCCTTACATTAATTGATACGATTAATAAATGTGACGTGTCAACGCCATTTATTGAATATTGTCAGCACTCAGCAGCGGAATGCGGATCGCGAATTTCTATAGGAGTATGACTCCTATTTCTATAGAAGTATGCGTTACCTGCCGAAATTTTAATGAATTTAAAACAGATTGTGTTTTGTTGGGTTCATCCTTAGATTTATACGTAACCGAAAGATGCATTATCAATAAATTAGAAGAGAGGAACGATATCACATAATAGAATATGAGGAAATTTATTTCTTATTTACTTTTAGTTTTACATCAATCGCTTATTCACTTCCTCATGAAGCAATAAAAAGATACATAAATTCTCAGGTCGATAATTAGATAGATTTGTTAAAAAAGACAACTCTTTCACAAGGCTCGCACTTTGATTGTAGTTTTGTTGATATACTCATCGCCAAATATCTTTCGCTCATTTGAGTTCAAAAACGTCAACAAACTTGCTTGCTGAATTTTCGGTGGCATCATCATACTTATAAAATCACTGCTCATGATGACCTTTGAAGACAATTTGAGCAAAGATCAACACTCAGAAACCATCTTACAATGTTTTATATTCATGAATGGTCACAGAAGACCGTTTCTACGACACAAAAGTTGCGACTGATAAATAATTTTCCAATCATACTAACAGGCTCTGGAGATTCAGCCAAATTGTCTTTTTTTCTCATATTTGTTGAATCTATCATTTTTTCAGATTAATCTTATGTTTTTTCTGGCAATATTTACTAGTCTTATCCTCATTGAACGTTTCATTCTTCCAATACCAGCTTTTTTCCACATGTTTTTGAATGACTTAAAATTATCTTATATTCTGTAAAAGGAAGCGCATATTGTCTCAATCATGTATTAAACCTCTTTAACATATATATATTGAACCTTCAAAATGGCTTTGTTTTGTGTATGTTTTTTTAATGCTCTTAAGTTTGCTTGCAAAATTTCCTTTTTTCTGATCTTTGCAAGACTTCACTACACGTTCAATGATCTGATCTGGTGAAAATACAATGATGCGCCGGTATGAACGTTTCATATTCATTTGTCAATATAGATAGGACCCAGTTTATGGGATGACTTTGCGTCCTTGTTGTTAGCTTCTAAGCAAAATATAAATAAAGTAGGAAATAGTTGAGCATGTGGATAAGAATATGGAATGTGTTGGTGAATCATCATAGTTTACAGCAGCTGTATTATTAGTTCATTTTCTGATTGACCAATGCTAGAATGTACGGAATTGATTGGCTTGAATAACCTAATTTTTAATGTTCAAAGCAAAACTCAATCAGGTGTTTCTAAATATATTTGACATCATAACCGTTATTCAATAACTATATTCACCTTCAAGTAACGAATTGAACTTAGGTAACTTCATTCACTAGCTGTAGTTCGATGTCGAGTAATTGTCTAGTAGTTCAAACAAACCTATTATTATGTAACTTACTAAATATTAACTGGCACAACAAAACAACCTAATAAAATTTTTATATATATATAGTTAATTAAACTGATATGTCACCCCACCCTGAAACGAAACTTACTCCTGATAATATAACAAAAAGATGAAAATTACGTAGGCTTTCAGTGGCGTTCGTTTTCCACTGTCCTCTTCGAACCAGAATTGGGGTGAATAGAAATTGTCATAAAATCAAGTTATTTCCCACCAATCTGCCAATGAGAATTTATGTAACGCAATCAGTTGGCTATTACGAACCCTCGAACAGTGTCGCTGTGATACCACAATACCATCCCGCGCTAACTACCGCTAATGCGAAACTTATTCTGTCGCATTGGGGAGGACTATCACGAATGCTGCATATATTCCCATATTTAGGTAGTGAGATACTAGGTAAAGAAGATACGCTCTTTATGCACAAACTGTATTCACCGTCGATTCGATAACTCAAACCAAATTCTCATAAATCCTGACAAAGCAGACACAGACTATATATGGCGTCATAATAAACTCGCGTCTGCAAGTTTGCACATTTTATTAGGGTGAAATATAGCATAACAGATACGTTTCCGGTGAATTATTGGATATAATACGGTAGCGAATTTTTTTCCCTGTTAATACCACGATTCTGGTCAAAAGATAACCGGGTTAGAAAAGAGAAAATCATGATATATCTTTGTGGACAAAATTTAGCAAAAATCACTACATGGAAGATAGCGTGGCCTATATGTAACATGCAAAAACGATTTTAGCGAAAACAACTGTCGCGCAGTAATGTTAAAATAAGTCCACTTGGTAGTAATCAAAGACATGGAATCATGAGAAAGTCTTACACATATTATCAGCAAAATGCATGCCATTGAAAAATGCATTGGTTTATATCATTTTTACAAAGCAATGAGTTTCTACTTTTCTATGACTCTTATATGAGTCTCAAGTAACAATGCGACGAATTTGGCCCTGTACGCGTATCATTTTTCAATTGAGCTGCATATTTTTCTTGAAATCAACTATTCGTTTAATCCTCCTAATTTTAAAAAACACCTCTGGTCGCAACGGATTCGAATTCTAAATTTTCTGACTCCGCCAAAGCCTGACGTACTTTCCCGCCAAAAATAGCTACCAGTTGCGGATTCAAGTTTCGTTCGAAAGCAGCTCGTCTTGATTCGAATTTGCTTTCAAAAACAATTGAAATAGTTCGAAAGTATAGATTGTACACTGTGTTGTCTGAAAGTGGTAGGTTAGTGTACTTCGTTACTTGTTCCTGCGTATTGGATCATTGATTATAGTCTGATCATGCTACAAGAGGATCGGGATTCATAACGAGTATGGTTTTATTGTGTACCGTACCACAGCCTCTTAATCCCGTTAGGTGCTACTGTAGTAAGCTTATCGATATTAAACTATGGATTCAACTATTCAAAGAACAGAAGAAAGACTGAGATCCTGTTTCCCGGGTCGGAAACTTTACTGGTGGGGTAGACTTTTCGAGTGTATTTGATCCTATTTCGTTACTGATATTTGATCACCTATTTTTATTAAAAGTGATTTCCTTCCGTATGCTTTGCGTTTCATCGGGTGGTGGCATGGTGGTTAATCAAGTTAGTTATGGATGTTGTTTAGTTTTACAACTGTCTTTTTGTAGTTAAGGTTAGCACCGCTGTGGCTGTATAAATCAGAGACATCCAATCCACTGATTTCGCCTACTACATACATTTGGTTGTAAATTGACAACCGGTTGCACTAATTCAAGTTTCATGCCTTCATTTGGTAGCTCACTCGCCTAACCCTCAGCATATCGTAAATGGAGAACTTTGAAATGATCAGGTTATTATCATGTAGGACTAACTGATAAGGAATATTGACAGTATTTTTTAATATTACAGTATTACATTCTAATTTAGTATTTTACCATCGTGAATCTTATTTGCAGTGATAAAAATGCAATAGAGTAGAGTAATTTAGAAAGAAACCAAAAATACCACCTGACAAATTGTACCCATGAGCCCTAAAAATTACCAGGTAGTAAGGTTTGTATCGCATAAATTGCGTATCACTGATTGTATATACCCAGTCCTGGTTTTACCATTAGACTAGGTAGGCTAAAGGTGTTAAGTGAAATAGCCTAGGGGCATTTTATCGTCTAAATGTGG